GGGGACCTCGGGTCTCGCTGCTCGGAACCGGGAGGAGCCTGGCGTGGCCCCTTCCTCGGTGCCTGGTGGGGCTGTCCGGTGCCTCGGGCCTGCGGAGCCCTGGGGCCTTTCTACTGCTGGGGGCGGTTTCTGTGCCCAGGCGGCTTGGGGCAAGAGGGCCATCATGCCAGCCCAGCCTCCCGAAGGCCAGCCTGCTGGACACGCGACCACCCTGCGTGGGCTCCGTGGCCGCATGGCTGGCGCCGGGCCCCTTAGGCCTGGTGTGTTTTCTCGTTTGTGATCTCTGCCGTTTCAGCTGCAGTGGACACAAGACCTTTGTTCTCTGTTTCCTTATCTTTACGGGGTGCTGAGAGGGGGACCCAGGGCCCGCCACGCTGGCCAAGCGCCCTGCCGGAGCCCAGCCGGCCCACTGCGGTTCTGCTTGTGCTGGGAGAGCGCAGGGCTCCCTGGTCTCAGGCCCCCGGTGCTGGGTTGGCCGTGTGGAGAGCTCCGTGGACGTGCTGTGGCTCTGCTGCCCTCCTGCGGCTGCGAGGCGGGACCGGGCCTGAGGTGGCCTCCCACGGTGCTGTGCCCTGCTGTGGCTGGCCCTGTTGCAGCCCCGCGTTTGAAGTGTGTGGTTGCTGGTCTTGTTGGGTTGGGGCAGTCAGCCGAAGGTGGGGCTCTTCTGCGTGTGCTGCTGGGCCCCTGGGCCTGGGCACAGCCAGGCTCCTTCCAGGGACACCAAGTGCTGTGTGCTGTGGGGTACTGTGCACCGAGCACCGGAGCCAGCGCCACCCCTCCCACCCCCAGGGCTGGCGGTCGCCCTGCGGCAGGACAAGGGCAGCTCTCCCTGCTCCCTGGGGGCGGAGGGCTGCGTGGTCTGCAGCAGCGCCCTCCCTCTCTGCTCAAGTGTGTGCCGTGTGTCCAGGGCCCGCTGACCGCTCCCTCTGTCCCTCAGGCCTGCGGCTGCCCACTGTACTGGAAGGGGCCTCTCTTCTATGGAGCCGGCGGGGAGCGCACAGGCTCAGTGTCCGTCCACAAGTTCGTGGCCATGTGGAGAAAGTGAGTCCCGGCCAGGGAGGGCACAGAGGGGGCAGGGTCCCTGGGTCCTCGTCCCCAGTAGCCATCCCCTGGAGCTGGGTCATTCACAGGTGCGCATCCATGGCCCGGCCTCCTGTCCACCCCAGCCTCCTCGCTCATCTGTACTCTGTCCACCCACCCCCGCGTCTGGGGCAGGAGGGTGGCTCAGACCTCCTCGTGTCCCCAGGATCCTGCAAAACTGCCACGATGAAGCCGCCAAATTCGTCCACCTGCTCATGAACCCTGGCTGCAACTACCTGGTGCAGGAAGACTTCGTCCCCTTCCTGCAGGTGAGCGTCGCACCTGGAGGACACCGTGTCCAGATGCACGCAGGCCTGGGCCCCACCGCTGTGCTGCCCCAGGACCCCCACCGCAGTGCGCAGTGTGGGCTGCGCGTGTGGGTCCCGTGGGCTGCTGTCCTGGGAGTGCAGGGGGCGGGGCTGCTCACCTGGGGCTCCTCCCACACAGGCCTGGGCCCCGCCCCCCGCTGCCCCAGAAACCCCAGCTGCAGAGCCTTCCGTGTGGGTGCGGACTGCTGACTTGGGCCTGGGGTCCCTGGGGCCTGGGGGCCGGGGCAGGGTCAGTTGGTCCCCTGGGGCTCCTCTCCGCTGCTGGGGCCCTTTTCCTTGCTGGGCTGGCTCCCTGGGCGTGGCTGCCCGGCTCTTCTCACCCGTGGAGGGCGGGGCACTGAGGGGCCTCGTGGGGAGTGGCTGAGCCGGTGGGGTCCACAGGTGGAGTGCTCCCCGCAGCCCGCGGGGTCGTGAGAGGCGGTGCCAGGCTGCCTGGGTGGACCTGCAGCCTCTCCCACGGCCCTGGCGTGGCTCGGCCGAGTCTGGCAGGGCGACCCGCACCGCACTGGCTTGGGTGGCTCGGCCTTCATTCTGTCCCTGTGCCGGCAGGACGTGGTGAACACGCACCCTGGCCTGTCCTTCCTGAAGGAGGCGTCCGAGTTCCACTCCCGCTACATCACCACGGTGAGTCCCAGCGCCAGAGCCCCCCTCGCCGGGCCAGTGTTGGGAGAGCAGCTGCGGGGTGACCAGGGCTCCCGCAGGCTTTCGGCCCCGCCCCTGCTGCGACCGCCACCGAGTCAGAGTCAGACATATCAATCACGAGCTTGTGGGCCAGGCACCGGCGCTGCCACCCCTGAGGGACAGCACGTGGCCTCATGACACTGGAGCACCTGAATGCAGCGTCCGCTGGCCTCGGGCTTCTGGGTGGTGACAGTGCTCATGTGTCCGGCAGGGCTCAGGGACGTGGTGAGGTCTCCTGTCCCGGGGCCATGGGTGGCAGGGACATGTCTGCCCCGGGGGGGTCGTGGGTGGGGCAGAGTGGACTCCTTGGAGCGCTGCCCTCCTTGCATCTGGTGGGCTCAGCTGACCCTGCTGCCCACTCACGGGGCTGTGGGTCTGCACTGCCCATGAGCAGAGGGGCCGGATTTCCAGAGGCAGCCTGCGGCTCGGGGCGTGAGACGTCGCAGCGCCAGGGCGGGGGTGAGCAGGGGGCGCGTCCTGGGATCAGCTGCAGCCGCCCCTGCCCTGGGGCAGAGCTAGCCCCGTCCGCAGGTCAGGCTGGCTGTGCCACCAGGGAGGAGGTCGCGGCCACCGCGTGTGCCTCCGCATGGTGCCGGGCTGTTTGTGGAAGTCTCCGCAGGTTCTCACCCCAGGCTCACCTGGCACTGTCCTCAGCCTCTGCCGTCCCGCCCTGGCCCCCAGCTCACCTCCTGCCCTGAGAGCTCAGACGCAGCCCTGGGCCTGCAGAGCCCTCCTCATCCCTCCCTGCAGCCCGGGCAGCACTCCGTCCCTGTCCAGCACAGCCCTGCCCTGCTGCGTCCCCCAGGGCAGCCCCAGCACAGCAAGGCTCTGCCCTTAGGCAGCTGGGCCCCTGTGGTTCTGAAAGGCCCCGCCTGACTTGTGGGGGCGGGCGCCCTCTGCTGGTGGCTGGAGCCCTGCGCAGGCCCCCTCCTGACCCGCCGGTGCTGTGCTGAGGGTCCTCCTCCCGCAGGTCATCCAGAGGATATTCTACACCGTCAACAGGTCCTGGACTGGGAGGATCACCTGCACGGAGCTCCGGAGGAGCACCTTCCTGCAGGTGCGCCCGGGGAGGTGGGCTCCTTCCTTTGCTGGAGGACCCGGGTGCGGGCCCCGGCACAGAGGACCCTCAGGCCACCAAGCACCAAGTCCCATCAGGGGACACAGAGTCTCCAGCATGGCCAGCCTGTCCTCGGCATGGCCCGACATGTGTGCCTGCCCTGCGCCTTGGCCTCCCTCCAGGCTTCCTCCACTCACCCCTGAGGAAGCTGCCCTCTCTCTGAAGCCGCCCCTTCCTCAGAGCAGAGCCCGTCCCCTAGACACAAGAGGCTCCGGGCCCCTTTTCACGAGCTCTACCAACCCATTTCTCCACCTTCAGGAGGCCCCTCCCACCCGCTGCTCCATCTTCAGGAGGCCCCTCCCACCCTCCTCATCTTCGGGAGGCTCCTCCCACTCACTGTTCCATCTTCAGGAGGCCCCTCCCACCCGCTGCTCCATCTTCAGGAGGCCACTCCCACCCTCCTCATCTTCAGGAGGCCCCTCCCACTCACTGCTCCATCTTCAGGAGGCCCCTCCCA